AGGGATGGGCACAGGTGGCAGGCCCCTTAAAATTTCTGTGGAATTTTCTAGTTTTTTCCTGCTATTCCAGGCAGCACAGCCAATCCAGAGAAAATATTAACTTCCCTGAGGATGAGGTGGTTGCTGACTCAGATGGTGGGCTAGAGAACACTACTGGATCAGGCAAGAAAAAGTCATGGCAAACACATCAATCTAAGAGTAGAGCCTAAATGTGATCACAATATAAAAACAGGACAGTAAAGCTCAGTCAATTGTAGAAATATTACCCTGTTTTTTCCAGGTCCAACTTCAGCAGAACCAAAGGCATCATCTTCTCTCACCCCAGGCAAGCATCTCCCACTGCAGACGTAACGAGCCGCTAACCGCCGTTTGCACCAGCTACAAGATCATAACTGTGTGAATCTAAATCATTTGGGTATCAATAAATCCCGTGTTATTTTTATAGACTGTAGGCAGTTTGATTCGTCACACCAAGGCATTTTATCAATCTATGAAGAATTTATTTTAAGAAATGATTTGCTTGTTTAGGTAGTGACCGGGATTTAGTTTTTAATTTAGCTTTTAACGACTGCAGGAGATGATGGAATGTAAGAATTCAGAAAATTGAAAGATATATGTCTGAATGTCACTTGTGCAATGTGTAATTACGTTACCATTAGTTTTTTCACAGTTCTTCACCACTCAGTGTCATTTAGCCTTTACAAGCAATTGACGACATGCTGAAATAAGAGTTTATGTTTAAAACATTAAAAGTGTGTTTTTATTTTTACATGTAAACTTATCTCCAAGACTGTCTGTGTCACAAAATAATGTAAAAATGGTTAAGTTATGCTCAATTCAAATTAAACATGTTTGTGTATTTAAATCAAAAGTCAGTTTTACATAACATTCAGCATTTTTACACTAGATGTTCTTCCCATTAAATCTATATTAAATGGGTTTTTCTGTACTGAATCTGTAAAATGACATTAAAATAAATAAGACTTCTTCCCTCTCAATTTTAAGACTAATGCAAACTTCAGATTAAAGTGGTATAATTTCAGATTATGACACAATCTGAAATGTCATTTATGAAGTTGAATGTGTTACTGTCTGCTGAGGTGTGTTTCCAACCAATTTAATTACATGTAGTCTGGCAAAATCTAATACTCTTAAAATATTTTTTTCATTTGGCCTCATATTGCCACGTTTTCAATTATTCCATCACTTAACCACAGAAGAGATCTGAAAATAATTGAAATTATGGGTTCTCTAAATTCTGGTTTTCCATAACAAATGTGTTAAAACATGCTAAACAAAATTTTGAGTCAAAAGCCAAAGCAAGGAATAAAAATATAAACTGTGTGTAGATTATAATGATACTAAATTAAATTCTGGGATTTGAGTAGTTTTTGAATGATAATAAACACGATTCATGAAAACGTACTTGGCTTATTTATAGGTACAAAATTAAAGAAGGAAGCAGCAAAGCATTGGTAAGGAATTGGGAGTTTCTAAATCCCTCTCTGCAGTGAACTGGATCCCAACTAACACAGGATGAATTTCCCTTCAGATGCAGGTCACCTTCATGGTCAGACACGGTGAGTTATTTTGAGCTTTTAGCTGTATTAGCTACGCTAAGACAGGATGTAGGTTCATGAATAGTTTAGTATTAAATCCCAGGACGTAAACAATGTATGTGTTCCAGCTCAAAACGATGGTTTTCAGTTTCTAATAATTCCTAAAATTCCGATTTCTAAAAGTCCCAAATAGGATTTGACTGGAAAATCCCCATTTTAAAATGAAACAGTTTCAGATTTGCATCTGGTGCATAAACGATTAATAACATTAAGAGCACATTGTGTCTTTAGAGTAGATGAAAAGAAACACTGGATTACAAAGTGTCAGGAACACAATGGCTGTTTTCTTTCTCATTTTATTTAATGTAACTTGTTGTATAATTTCATATGGATATCAGCTGTAGACTGAAACCTTGTAGAGCCATTGACCTTACCTTTGAGTCTCTACTTGCCCTTGCCAGGTAACGAAAACTGATCTCTGTCCTGCATCCATTCATGAAAAACATCTCACATTACATTCTCACGGATCCACTTGACAGTCTCTCCTCCTCTTTCGCTTGTGTAAGCTTGCTCAGTCTCCTATTAAAATGAAACACATAATTCAGAAATGGTGTGTCCGTGAAGATAAATAACTACATTAGAGTTTATCTTTAAATGTGGGAATTTAAAGCCGTGGACATTGCAGAACATTGTGAGCACACAGAATTATGATCAGATGCCTGATTTTTTAAAATTTATTCAGATCCTAATCTGGTTGAAAAAGTTTGCTGTGTCTCTTTAATCCTCCCTGACCTTAGAGATTACAATGTGAAGCCTTTTATATTAACTTAATGGGGTTAGTCATGGAGATATCAGCTCGCTATAGCTTTTTGCAACTTTTATATCATTCTTTTTGTGCAGAATAGGTCAAAGGACTGTAAGATATCAATGAAACAAATAAGAAAATATGAAATTTGCATTTCATGTTTTTATACAACATAAGTATTCACACCTACTTTAACTTTTCATAAAATACCTTTTACATCCTTCACAGGCGCTCATATCTTTTTACCAGCTTCATATATATGAACACTTTTTTTTTTTTGCAAATTTTTCTTTACATAAGGACTCAAGTTCAGTCAAACTGGACAATTTCCAAGTTTTGTTACAGATTCTCAACAGAAGTCTGAATTGATTTTGATTTAATTATTCTGACACATAATCATACTTTTATCTAAAACAGGGGTCCCCAAACTTTTTCCTGCGAGGGCCACATAGCTGTTCCTTTTTCTGGTCGGGGGCGGTCTTAGTTTTTGGAGAAAGAAACCTAAGAAAATTCTCGTCTACGACGACGACACATTGCGCTTTTAGATAGATTTTTACCCAGAATGCAAATGGAAAAAACCGTGAGTGAAACTGACTAGTCTATATTCCATTGAGGGAAAGTAAGTTTCACATCTGCTCAAGAGCCCCCTGGTGGTTGAAGAAAAATCCACATATAAACCAGAAAATACAATATATGAAAAAAAACACTGAATGCTCTCTGGTATGAGGAGGCGAGCCAGATCCGGCACTGTTCAGGGGGCCGGACCAAATGATGTGGCGGGCCGGATCCCGCCCGCGGGCCGGAGTTTGGGGGCCCCTGATCTAAAACAATTAGCTTTTTTCTATCACTGCCCTGCTTAAGGGTCAACATCCAGCACAGCACCTGACCTTTGCAAGCCTCTAAGAGGTTTCCTCCTAACACCGCCTGTATTTAATTAATCTACTTTTCTATCAACTCTGCTCCACTTTGTTTCTGCTGAGTAAAAGCATCCACAGATTATTTCTTAATTTTCTAAAAACATTTTGCATTTATGCTGAGGTTTTCAATCTGATCAGAACACCTTCTTCCATGATTGCAACGTCCCTGGCAGCGTTGTAAAGAAAAGTGGGCCAAAATTCTTCCACGACGGTGCAGAGGCCAAACAGTAAACAATGAACGCCATTGGCTCCCACTTTGTTGCAGAGTGCACTTTTGAGGTCCTGTATTGACTCTGGTTGCTCTCCATGGCCAAGCATTAGGTTACACAAGAGGACGTCTGCATCCATACTTTCCTACAGGTGCGCAAAAGGCCTTTAATAATCAGAGCCTGCTGATGATGGCCTATGCAAAGCTGGAAGCAATAGAGAGACAGTACTTTTTATTCACTGTCCCCCAGACTCTGGAACTCACTTCCTTTGGAGTGGAGTCTTTCTTTGTTTATTGCATAAATCTCTCACTCAACTAATTTTTATTAAATCAAAACAAAACTATATTAAAACCTTTGAAAAGTAAAAAAAAAAATAATAAGTGTAAGATAGCATCTAACAGAAAGTTCAACAAAACCTAACTAAGGTAACATCAATAGCTGGAAAAATAAATATTGTGCACATGTACTAGGTTTATTTCCCCACAGTTTTCTGTCCTCATTTTGATTCATTAATGGCTTGTCTGTTCTTTTCTCAAACAGAGCTGCAAAATTTTAAACTTCATCCATATTATCAACACTTTAATGAACTGGATCTAAATCTAAGAAAGAACTATTCAGTGTCAGTGGCACTATCTTCCAGACATGTAATGTTCCTGGAGTGCAGCTGCGGGTGTCAGGTGCTCAAAGGCAGGGTGAAGGTAAGAATCACTGGGCAGGAAACACTCTAATGCGTGCCAGGCCAGGCTGGACACCGTTTGCTAAAATGACTAAGAACCAGGTTTGGTTTTGGGGCATTTTCCACATTAGGAGCGTTTAATGTGACAATTTACTTGCTATTTGTAAAACATCATATTTTTTTCTTCACTGAGGTAATTCTGCATATCTAAATAATCTAAGCATTTTTTTAAGTATTATGATAAACTTGTGCCTTGGTTAATCTTTTTCAGTGGTCGAAATGATAATGTGCTGCTTATGCAGTCTCACTGTAGATGTACTACTTTGCAAAACTAAAATAAAGTTTAGTTTGGAACTTTTTTATGTCTGTACTTTATTAAGATTTGTGGTGACAGGACAACACAAAGAAGTGCTTAAATGTGAAAAGGAAGGAAAACAACACATTGTACAAATGCATTCTGCTCTGATACCACTAAATAAAGTCATCTAATTAGTAAATCATGGAACAAGAAGCAGCAAAGAAGCCTAAGGCAACTCTGGAGTAGCTGCAAAGGGCCATTGCTCAGGTGAGACAATCTGTTGACAAGGCATTAGTTTTACACTCAACAAATCTGGCCTTTATGTAACATGAAACTGTGTAGGGGACACAGCACATATGATGACACCAACATTTAATGTTTGGGTCTACATGCAAAACTCTGTGTAGGAAGACTGACACTCACTTCACCCTGAAAAACACTGTGCCTTTGATGAAGTAAGTAAGGGGCTGTGTCATGCTGTGGGGATGCAGCAGGAACAGCGTTCATTGACAGAGAAACTTCCAGTGAAAAATCTAAAAACAACATCAAATCATGCTGACTTGGCGTTTGAATATTTTGCATCATAATCTAGAAATATAAACATTTCTTTTTGAAAATAAATTGTGGAAAATGTAATATAATTATTTACGCCGTTTTGCTCAGCATATGACTGTCCAGAAGGAAGAAATGCTCATGTTAACACCGTGGATGTCAGATTTATATAACGCAGCCTTGACTTTGTCTTATTTAACATGCATGAGTGCATGCAGAAGGGTAACCCTATGAGTCGGTCCTACATAATGCCGGGGTCCAGTGACACAGTGTCATTCTAACCCCACAGAGACGCACAGGGAACTAGAGAGAAAGGAAAAACACATCAATAATTGAATCTAAATCAGTCTCTTCCTACTCTCAGCCTAATGAAGTCAGTGCCTCCAACTGGACTCTTGAAGAAACCTGTGGATAAGAAACTGTGACTCAGACGGAGAGCCTCGGTGTCTGCAGGTTCTTTTTTGGAGTTCTTGTTTTTTTTTTTTTCAATTTGTGCTCTATAGTATTTCTCAGAGTAAAGAAGCAGCTGGACTCAGGATCATCATGGTACCATGGTGGCCAAACTGTTAGGGCTGGCCTTTCTTTATCTCATGACCGGTCCATTCACCTTCTCTGCACACGGTAAGGGTTGACGGCGTTTGGATTCAATTAGAAACACCAAATTACTTTTTAAAATGACTTTTTAGCTCTTAAATATTTGATAATCCTTTTATGCGCAATGTTATTTTGACATTTAATTGCATGATTTTCCTTTAGGTAACTACAAATAAAAAGTATTTTTCTTATCACCGGTCAGTGTATGAAATAATTCTAAAAAAATGTTAAATACAAATAAAAAACAAGAAATGTATCAGTCACAGATGATTGCATTGTTTCCATTCCACTTCCACTGTATTTTGACCATAAATGCCACAAATAAAAATCATCCTATTCCAGATTCAAATCCAAAAAATGATAAATTTATTCCAACATAACTTGTACAATTAAATCATTACTTTTTCTCTGTTTTTGTGCTGTTGTTTCCTCTATATTTGCTTTATAACAATCAAACATGACTATCATTTCAGAGAAATAGTAAATTTGAAAAGGTTAAACATTTTTCCAAGTTGCATTTGAAAATAAAGTGAGATTGTTTTGTTGTTTTGGAATCCTGTGAACCTCTCCTGAAACTTGCAGTGTAATCAAACCTGCAGCAGGACACCAGCAGGGCACCTGACACCACCATCTTTCTCCATGACCCTTTTGCAGGCACGTCAGTGTACCCTGTCCCAACTTCATCTATTAACATCAATCCAAACTGGGAGGTGGTCTACCGGGACACTGATGTTTATGGGGTGGTGGGCAAAGCGGTGATCCTGGAGTGTGGCACCAGCATGCCTGACATCTACATATGGAGCTTCACCAAGCCCGGCACTGACGGCATCAGAGCAGTGGTGTATAATCTGGGGAAAGGGCCGAGGATCCAGCAGCTTGCTGAGACACTTGGACAGTTGACCATCATCTCAAACAGTGCAGCAGTGAGCATTGAGAAGCTGCCTCTGGCTGCTCATGGCCTGTTCACCTGCCAGGCCTTCTACAATGTCGACAAGGAGCCCGTAGTCTACTATTACTACGTTCACCTCAATGTCAGAGGTAAGACTCTTAACTCAAATTACGTTTCTTGGTCAAGCAGGGTGTACGTAACAGGTTCAGCTTTTCTTGTGTACTTTGACACTTCTTCTGGTAAGTGTTACATTTTTGATCACCAAATCAGTGACCGACGAGTCAACAGTTCTCTTTTGTTAAAAGAATAAATAAATAAAATCAAGAAGCAATATATAGGTTTTAAAAATTAGTCTTCCATACTGCCTTGCTTTGGACGCCAAATCATAGTTTTATCTGCTTGTTTAATTGTTTGCTTCCTTACAGTAATGCGAAGCAAACTGGGCTGGAACAAAAACCATTTTTCTTTTACAGGTTTTTCTTTTTTGTCTGATATTGTAGATCAAGCATTTCAGATTGTTTTGGTGAAGGACTGTTTTGCTCCCAGTGCTCTTTTCTCATTTAATCTAACTTTCACTGTAGATGAAATTGGTCAATTCTTTCAGTTCAACATCATTAGGGGGGGCTTTGAGCATGAGCTGCCTTTTGAAGATCAGTCTACAACTGTTTAATTAGATATATGTCCAGACTTTGACTAGGTCATTCCAAAACCTTGTTTTGTGTCTTAGCCACTCGCAGGTGAACTCGCCGGTGTGCTTTGAAACATTGACTAAGTTTAAAACTTTGCTATTTTGGGGATTTGTTTGTGAATTCATAAATAAAGTGCCTGGCACCAAGCTCTTTAAATCAGTTTGTGAGACCTTAAAAAGAAACACACAAATCATAGATCAGGTGTAATGGTTTTACACCAAAACAAGTCTGTCCATTTTTTTTTTTTTTTTTTTTTTAATCAAAAAAATCAACAGTCATTCAGTCTACAAGTAGCCTTAACGCTGGTATAGTATGCAAACAAAAGAGTCAGATAGTTCATGGAGTGGTTCAGTCATGCACTGTGAAAACACAACATAATGAAAATTATTATTACCATACATAACACTCTTATTTCCTTCTGTCTTTTTCTTGAACGCAGTCCCCGTCAGTAAGCCGTATCTATCGCTAAGCGAAGTGTCTCCGGTGGAAGGCTCCACCATGTCAATGCAATGCAACCTGGAAAACGGAACCGGGCCAATCCAGTACGTATGGCAGCATGAAACCCACAGTGGCAACATTACGGTGGTGGCCCAGGGAAGCAGCAACCGCATCAACATGACGGACGTCAACAGAAACCACACCGGCTGGTACCGCTGCATCGCCACCAATGCCGTCAACAGTGAGAGCTCTAACCGCTTATGGCTGGACACCATCTGTGAGTGTTAAGAAGTTTATTTAATCATGTTTTATAATCTTTTAAAAGAGTGTTAATATATTTGCAAATTCCCATTTATTTTCTGTTTTCAGAAATAAAATAAAAAAAAAAACATGGCAATTTTTTTTTATTAATCTTCCTTTGCTCTGACAAATAATCAATAAGTACAATCCACAAGTGTATAATTTAGTATCAGTATAAGTCCAGTTTTTCTCTGAAGGTGTTTGTTCAAGAACAAAAACATTTTCTAAAGACAAAAGATGACTCTAGACACAACAAAACAATATGAAGTTCAATAATATCTCAAAAAATATCCCAACCTTTAAACATGACACAGATTATAGTTCACCTTCTAAATTCATGTGTTTATCTTATTACTTTGTCTTGTGTTTGTTATAAAACCTCAAATTTTGTTTAGTAAATTTGACTCTGTTTTCTTACTGAAGTGTTTTGATTTGTTGATGCTGATTGGTTGCTTTTCATCCAGTTGAATGTAGCACAGAGTAGTAAAAACTTTACTCCTTATAATACTAAGACATGTCTTCCCATCCCAAACTGATAAACGGTATCAGTGCTTGGACCATCTGGGCCTTTCATCTCTTAGATCCTTCCATGTTCTTTCTCTGCAGATGGTCCAGACATCCCCCGGATAGACGTGACTCCCTACAGTATAACGGAGCGGGGTTACTCTGCGTTGGAGAGAGAGACTGTTTCACTGATGTGTCAAGCCCCGTCCAATCCAGCCAGTCAGTACGTCTGGTTCTACAACAACTCCCAGGTCTACAGCGGCCCGCAGTACACCATCACCAAGATCCTTCGCATGCACACAGGAGACTACGCCTGCTTGGCCCAGAACACATACCTAAACACCCGCTCCAAAAAAACCATCAGCCTGACTGTCTACTGTGAGTGTGACCTCTGACCTCAGGTCCTGTTGTTTACCTCTTTTGCTCTTTTGTCCAACCTGAGTTATTCAGTTCCAGAGTGCTTTCTCTGTCTTGGTACAATAAGATGCAGAATGGGGTCTTTCCTCTTTCGCCACATTAAGCTTTCTTTCTTTATTCTTATACAATTCAGTATTTCATTTTCACTCATTCAGACGTCAGATCAAACTCACACAACAACATAAATACACAAACAAGACAAAGAAAGTATTGCAGATCTGTTCAGGAGTTGGACCTTCGGAGAGTTCGAAGGCACTTTTTCAGGTACCCTTTGCTGCAGTCCATGTCATGCAAGTACAGGTTGATCATAGAGGTGGTTACTTTTGATTCACTCTACTCTTTAATCGCGTGAAAAGATTCAAACCCAGCATTTTGAAGAATGTGCCCTGATGAATTTACCTCCACTTCGAACATCACTGCGTGGCCACTCTATGATCTATCCTTGCAGACCCTCCTGACGGTTCCCCTTCCTGCTCTGTGGAGGCCGCTCTGAATCACACTGCTCTGAAGCTGCTCTGCGTTTGGACCGGGGGATTCCCCTCCCCGTCCTTGGACTGGACCGGAGATCTGGTGCAGGCAGGAAAAACCCAGGTGGACGCAGAACAACAAACTAATATACAAAGTGGCACTGCCATCATTCTGCCCTCTCAGAGCGTGACCTCGAACAGCTTGTTCAGATGTGTGGGCTCCCATCCTGCTCTGAAACAAACTACAGAGTGCAGCACACGAACATGTGAGTACACAAAGGTCACAGCAGATGATGACAAAAAGTGTTTTTGTGTTGTCATCCCATGTTTTATTTCCATACTACTCCTCCTTACAGACATTCCTCCTGCAGAACCGGTGTGTTTTGCCTACGT